TCCTCTATAAGAATATGACATCATATCCCATAATTTCAAAAATTTTATTTTTGTGACGTCATCACTTTAGAACTCTATTAAGGCAGAGATATTGGAGTCCAGATTAATGTCAAGTAGTAAAATAATGATCACTAAAATGTCTTAGTTAGACATTTAAGTGTCGCCCACTCCCCGGGGGGAACTCCCATATAGAAAGGACGGTGGTGTTTGTCGGAAATTTTGAAAAGAAGCCCAAAGAATACCAAGGTTCTGTTTTGTAGGCGTTGCTTAGAATTTTTTTTTCACCCCTAAGAAGTACCAATTCTAAAACAAATCATCTCCTGTCATATTTTTTGACTCTTTAAAAGTCACCGCAAAAGCTCTCGCTGTAGACCTTTTGAGGCTGAACACCCTACGAGGGACCAAGGTACCGCTTTTTCACCCCTGAAATGTCCGACGAGCGCCCCCGTCCTTTTTATGTGGGAGCTAGTNATATTGGAGTCCAGATTAATGTCAAGTAGTAAAATAATGATCACTAAAATGTCTTAGTTAGACATTTAAGTGTCGCCCACTCCCCGGGGGGAACTCCCATATAGAAAGGACGGTGGTGTTCGTCGGAAATTTTGAAAAGAAGCCCAAAGAGTACCAAGATTCTGTTTTGTAGGCGTGGCTTAGAATTTTTTTTTCACCCCTAAGAAGTACCAATTCTAAAACAAAACATCTCCTGTCATATTTTTTGGCTCTTTAAAAGTCACCGCAAAAGCTCAAAAGGCTGAACACCCTAAGAGGTACCAAGGTATCGCTTTTTCACGCCTGAAATGTCCGACGAGCGGCCCCGTCCTTTTTATGTGGGAGCTAGTTCCCAGCTCCCCGGGCCTCCTCTTCTAGTGTTACAGAGCGTTTATTTATGCCTTCTCACCAATGTATGCATGCATGGTTTGATGTTTGTTTGTTGGACTGAAGAAACTTTGTTTGTTGGTTTGCTTGTTTGTTTCTTTGTATGTTTGGTAAAGGCGTCAATCAAGATTGGACCTTTTGCGTGTTTTATTTGTATTATTGAAATTGTTGCGTGCTGTACTTGTATTCTTATTCTTGTAAATGGCATTTAGAGTAGCAAGAGACTAAAAGTGTCCACAGTCTACTTGTTGGTCCATCCATCCACTCAGGAAGTTTTATTTTAATTAGTTATTTTTTGTTAAAGTATTGTAAGTTAGGGTTATTGATCTTTTTTCTAGAATGAGCGAGTTGGTGCAGGTGCGTCAGCGTTCACCATGGCTGTGTTACGATATCGTGTACAATTTGACGCCCTCAGGAAGAGAGCACAATCGATGTCTTAAGATCCTCCACGGCTTTACAAACAAGGTACATGTAGCCATGTACAATGTAACCATGGCAAACAGAAAACAACTTTCGGGACCAACAACTACTGGGACTTTCGTAAAAGGGGCCCCGCGTCGTTCGAGTTGCGTTGCTATTGTTTGTTGTAGACTGTTGATAGCCTCTCTATTTACGCACACCCGTTACGCAGTCAAGTCTTCCGTGTTTCGCTTGCGTCCAGTTCTCTCGCTATTCTATCCGCGCGTTTAAGGATCGAATAATAATAATAATAATAATAATAATAATAATAATAATAATAATAATAATAATAATAATAACGACAAAATAAAGGGCTGTGAACAGTCTAGTTTGTTGTTACTGTTGTGAAGTAAATTGTTTCGTCGAAGAATTTTTCGAGTGTTTCCAAACTCGATTCTGGATTCTCCAGAGCGTCGAGGATCGAGAGCAGGGACTGTCGACTTACGCTTGATTGGTACTCTAGGTAATCGACGAAAGAATCGCTAGTAGAGCAGCCAAGAGAAGGCAGTCACAAGCTGAGGAGAAAGAGCAGGAAAATGCAGACGAATGTGGATTTAAACGCAAAAAGCGTTTGGCTTTCCTTGATTTGTTACTGGAAGCCTATGACAAAGGAGAAATATCTCGAGAAGGCGTCAGAGAAGAAGTGGACACGTTTATGTTCGAGGTTAGTGTTCTTATACGTTTTTATGGTTTGTTATTTCATTGGTGTTGATATGATAAATAGAACATTACATAGCCGCTTGGAGATACGGAATTTCTCTCCTCGTGTTGAAAAATATTTCACTCGTTCGCTGCTTTCACTCGAATAGAAATTTTGTATTTCTGCGTGGCCTTGTAATATTCCCTATTTATCCAATCCTCAATGAACTCGTGAAACTTTTCCAAGGCTATTGCAAGATATACTTGCAGATGTTGATTCGTTCATTAGCTTCTTTGATTCCATTCTTAGGGTCACGACACAACAGCCGCTGGGATCACGTGGGCTCTATATCTGCTTGCCCGACATCCCATAATACAGCAACAGGTTCAAGAGGAAGTGGACACTTTTTTCGGTAAATGTTGTGATGTTTATGCAAATCGAAGATAACACGGCATGTTTCGAACAATTTCACGCTGCAGTGTCTCGACGATCTACAGATTGAAGTAATTCCCAGTTCGAGAGGCCTGGGAGTAAATGCCT